GGTCAGCTTTATATTTTCCCATGCCCATATTATTTTTTATCCTTTTCCCACACCCGTATTGACAGAGCTTCTTGATTTTGTCCCATGGGCAGAATACAGTGGCCTCTCCTTTTTAAGGCTTGAATGGGCCCTACTAACATCAGTTATGTTTAATTGGATTTGTGTTAATATTTCAGTTTGTTACTGGGTTCATCTCCCTCCCCTCTCATTTTTTTTCATCACAGATTTTATATATATATTTTACTATCATTAAATTTTTATGGCATGGGGCGAATTTTGTAGCCCCCCCGGAGAGGATATGGTATTATAGTGCATGGAGGATTGATTGGTGATGGACGAGTTCTTGTGGTGAATGGCTAAATTGTAATGAGTGAATGGGTCGTGAATCGGATTAGCTAGGTATAAGATAGTTAGCGTGGACCAGCCTTAATCCCTCCCCTTCTTCGGCCTTGTGCGACAATTATGTAATTTTTGCATAATAAATATCTAGAAGTGTTACCTGCCTTTGACTGTAGAACTGTACTGGTCAAAGTTTGTAAGGTAAAATGTTTTTACTGAATTCAAAGAAATAGTTTCAGTTCATGAAACGATAATTAATCATGATTAAAGAAATGTTCTTCAATAAGAAAATAAGTAGATTGAGGAAAATTCACTGTAAGGTGAATTTAGAAAAACTTAATCTTAGCTTGACAATTAAGTACTATCTTTATATTAAAAACATAATTTTTAATTTAACATTTCCAAGTAAGAATCAACGTAAATAATTTGGAAATATCTTGCTGCTCAAATTCGCTTACTGTTGAAGATTGACTTCGATCAAGAAGTAATTGAGTCAATCATGAGTGTATGCTGAGAGTGGATTTCAGAGATGAAAGTTGGTTGGTCAAATTTCTCACTGTTGGAAGTTGATATTGGTCGTAGTTAGTGAGTTAAAAGTTGTATGCCCTCAGGCGGCATGCTTGTTGTTAGTAAAAAAACTCACATTATTGTTTTTATTTAATTGTAGGTCATGTGACCAGCTGGTGAATATGTTTAGTTCTATTCAGAAACTTTTTAGCAGTAAATTAATTTTGAACACAACTGTGTAGGCGTTGTAACAATTTTCAAATATATTAGCCAATCAGAATTTGGAATTTTAGTCGAAGCTTCTGGGATTCACTTGGTGTTTAGTTTGTACATTGTTGTCAAGAGAAATATTACATGAAAAATGAATTTAAATATTTTACAACCAATAGAATTCATTGAATCAAAATAATATTATAATTAGGTAGAAGTTGAATGCTAAAAATGCATTGTTCTTAATATTTATGTTTTTAGCATGATAAACATTTTCTGCATATTTCATGAAATAATTTTAAGTGCCATGCCTCTTCTATCTCCCTTTAACTCAACTTTTCAATTTTTTTGTTCACCACTGTAGTAGCCAGGTATTGAACTCACACCTCTTTGGGTCAAGTCACTGGACCCAACCAACACTTTTATCTATCTGTTCCATGTGACCAGTGTATGAATTTTTGGAACTTATAAACAATCTACCCTGGTGGACAAAATAAAGGATTCAATTCAAAATTGCAATCACCTGCTGGTGTGTACAAAAGCCAAAACATTGTGAATATAGCAATAAAGATGAGGAAAAAAACATCCAAACAATGTAAATAGTTATAATACCTCATTTAAATATAGAAAGATGAATTTAAAAAGACATGGAATTAGAACAGTGTACCTCTTTGGACTAACTTTGATTTGAAATTCCAAGAAATATCAGAAACATATGATGACTGAAATGTCCTGAATATGACAATAAAGATGAGGACAACAGTCTGAACAATGTAAATAATTACAATACCTCATCTAAGAAATATAGACAGATACTGAGAAATTCTCTTTCATGGGTGCTCTAGGAGTGGGTGGGGTTACTCAGAAAGGCTTTCATGTGGAGGTGAGTCTAAATGCTCTGAAAAATCAACATTCAAAATTCTGTTATACCTGGATTTGAACACTAATTACTGGCATTGATGGAGAAATTGGCAACTGCCTTAGCCACCAAGCAGGTCCTGATAGAATGAACTTAATGCTAACTCAAGTTCATTGGGCATTTAAAAAGAGGTTAATTCAATGAATCGTTAAAGGGAGATAACTGGGATATCCAGAAGAGGCATGGTACAATCTACCCAGGTGGACGGAATAAAGGGTTCAGTTCAAAATTCCAATCATCTGAAGAAGGCCGGAGCATACAACAGCTGAAACATTGTGAATATAACAATAAAGATGGGGACAACAGTCCAAACAATGTAAATAATGTGAATTTCTGTGTGTGTGCTGATGAGGCTGTGCTTATCTGAATGCATTTGTTTCTCAACTGTAGCGAATGCATAAATGAATGTCCTCAAAAACAAACCCATGTTATGGACACCGTTTTCCAAGGAAGATGGAAAAGAGTGTAAAAGCCAGCTTTAAAAAAGAACGGCAACAAGAAACACTTACCTGAGTAAACGACATTCAGTGTGTTGGCCTGTCGAATGACATACATGGCCTGTATAAACTCTTGTTGTCAGCGTGAGTCTCTAAGGATATGTAAATTCTGAATGAGATTCACATTGCACTATGTAAATTAGGTTCTATAAAACAGCTAACTTTATTGCAATCGGGGAGTTTGTCTATGAGTTGTGTGGAGGAGTTTTTGAGACATGTGATTGCTGGATTGAATTTTATCCCCCTATGTAAAATTCTGCTACATTTACCATTAGACGCAATGAATTCAGTACATAAGAAGCCAAAGAAAATGTATCTCCGTAGACATTTAGACAATTCTCCTTGGAAACCAGAAAAATGATCCAAACTGTAGGAAAATTAATGTTTTGAACAAAGAACTTTCATTCATCTCAAACCAAATTTGGATAAATAAAAAAAATTGTTTCTGAAATCTATAAAATTAATTAGCATGTTCAACAGACTTATCTCCAGAGTAATAATTCTCATCCGTGTCTGAATGGGGGTGCGAGCTATGTCCGTGTCTGAATGGGGGTGCGAGCTATGTCCGTGTCTGAATGGGGGTGCGAGCTATGTCCGTGTCTGAATGGGGTGCAAACTATATTTGGTAACAATTCAATAGACTTGTCAGATCCTCTGATGCTGATGAGTGTCGTGATGTGAATCTCTTGGATTCCTCTATAGCTCCTTTGAGCATTTAGTAATTAGTTGATAGACAATTGTTGCTCAAGTTATCTATTGAGCACTTTTTTGGCAAGTTTTGACAGCACAGTTCTTTATAGAATAAGATTAAAATATGAATTCTCATGATAAAAAGTTCATGTAGATGAATAAAGATACATATAAGATTTTACATAAGCATTTATTTTTGACATATTTATATGGAAACCAGGTTTCAGGAGAATTCATTTTAGAAATTAAGTCCTTCCATATTTGGTGATAATGGCAAGGTCACTTAAAATACTTTGGTTTTGGCACTGCCTAATTGTAGAATTTTGGCACTGTATAATTGCAAAAATCACCAAAAGTTCCTTGATAAGAAACTTGACCTGTTCTGGTATTAATATTTGTAAGACAAAAAAAGAAATTCCCTTCATCTTATATTTTAATTATTTAATTAATTTATATTGGGACTATTATCTTTATCTTTGTTGTTGCTATCCTGTTTCAGCCATTATGCAATACTGTCTTATCAAGTATATATCAATCCAGGTATCATACAGGGAATTCCGAACTGAACATTTTATTTTAATCTATGGAGTAGGCTGTTCTTGTTTCACTGCTTATGTTTAGGAGTGTGGCAAACACACGTCAGTACAGACGCAAGAGAAGATTTGGATCACATCCAGACATGTTTGTCAATACCAGTTACATCTGGTTTTTCCTGTTAGCAGCGTAACAGCTTGGCATGTCTAGATACAGGCCTCTCTGCAACTGGTCAAGATCCAGGTCTTTGTATGATGTTTCATGCCAATAAAAATAGGGGGAAAACTAGCAGTGGGCAGTTGGCAAGACACTAACTTGTGAAGCCAATCCTGTGGGCTTTTGTTCCTCAAGTTGCTGTGGTTTCTGTGACAGTGTTTTTTTTTTTACCTCCCATCTCTTTCCCCCTCTCTGCCTATTACCTCTGATACTTGCTGGGAGAGCTATCAGTTAGGGTTTTTCCTTGCAAACTCAGTAGTTTTTATTTTTAGTGCTGCTCAGTTATTGCTCACCCTGTTTCCATCGAGTCTAAGAACACACTGTCTGGCCCAGGGATTGAACTCACAATTACTATGCCATTAAGTTCACGATCACTGGGATAATATTGCAGAATCTTTGTATTTATCAAGAATCTCTCAATACCTAGCAGAAACCAGACCAGATCTTGCAGCAATATTCAAGGCATGCACAAATATATAGATTCTGTTGAGAAAGATTGTCTAGCATGACATGGTGAACCAACTTTCCCAACAGACCTAGCAATTGGTTCAATATAATCTTCCTACTTCATGTCAGCAGAAAATGTTAACCTGAGAAGTCAAAATGAGTCACTTTCCTGGAGGTTAGCATCAGCCATGCTGTCGGAAAACGAAAAAGGTTTGCTAAGATGATTTAAAGAAAGCAGTTTAGTTTTGAAGGCATTAAAGTTAACAAGCCACTCCTTGCCCCAGTTAACAGATTGTAAGTCCTTTTCACAATCAGCTGCCAATTTAACTTTATTTCAGACTTAACTTCAAGACAAGACTAAATAGTTGACAACAGCATAAATACTGAGTTGAGAACTGATGATATCAGAAAGATCATTGATGACAATTAGGAACAATGTAAGTCCAAGGACAGAGCCCTAGGGTACATCCACATTAGTGCAAAAAGATGTCGAAGAGTGGCCATTCAAGAACACTTTCATTTATCTGATAAGAAAGATTTGAATCAGATCGAAAATTTTCCTGAAATACAATAACCTTTCAACTTTTAATGCTATTATTTTATTTTTATTTTTTAATTTTATTTTATTCTTATTTTTCTAGGGTGGCCCTGGAGCATCATCTACAGGGTTTGGAAACTTTATGGAAATCGGACCTCTTGATGTTGACCTGAATCCTCGTAAATTTACCTGGGTAAGTTGGGAGGCATCGTGACTAAGAGATGAAACCCGAGTTTTTGACTGTTGCACATATGTGGGATCAATGCACTCAAGAAAGGCATGTGCCTCAAAATTCTCACTTAATGATGATCTCATTTCCATGTGAATACTGCTTGAGATTAATTGAATGATTGTTTTTTATGGCTTATTAACCTTCTGTAGGTTATTTAAAGCTGAAACATTTTTGAATTGTTAAAAATGTTTTTTAAGATGATTTTCACATACAAGTCCTACTATTTAACCCATAGATGGGAGACGTGGATCCATACCTTTCTCAAGGATGTATAATGAACCTGAATGGAATTTGAAAACAGCTCTTTGATATCTCATTCCATATCCTTATCCAGTATACCACCCACATATCCAAGCTTAGAGCACCTGGTATTCCCAAGTGGTCCCCATCTTGATACTGGCCAAGCTCAATGTTGCTTAACTTCAGTGATTGTATGAGCACCAGTGTTTGACCGTGATATGGCTATAAGCCTACCACTTGAAAGCAAAAAAAATTATCTTTAAAACAAAAAACTGTAAATTAACAAGCATATTCACATATGAAAAGGAAAGATTTGGTTTCATGCCTGGTTGATGGCAGATATTATGGAATAAGCACCCTTTTTCCAAAAATGACAAAAACATGTCATACATTGATTGCTCCTGCCAGCAGGGCTTAGATTACTGTATCACTCCCAGAATTTGTGAGACAGTAAATATACTTCAAGGACGATCACATTAGATAAATTGACGGCTTTTGACAAGATGTGACATAGAGGGTTGCTACACAGTCTTCAGCTATGGAATCACTGGAAGAGTCTTCTAAATTATCAAGTCCTTTCTAACTGATCCTCGAAGGTAGTTGTTAAGTCAGTCCTCTGAGGTTCATGACATCAATGCAGGTGTCCCCCAAGGCTTGCTTTTCAGACCCTTAATTTTCATATGTTGCAATTATTGCTTTCTTAATTGCCTTGAGCACCTATTGGGGACTTAATCTCAACTCGGATCTCAAGGGGAACTCATACATGTGATTCATCACTAAAGATGCTAGAAAAAGAGCCAGATCAGGCCAAAAATGGAGTACTATTGCCATATATGGGCTGGAGCTGCACAGTCTTCACTTTCCAGTCTAAATAGAGCTCAAAAGCACCTTTCCATCCTTGTGAGTGACAAAAAAATGTGTTTAGGCGAACTACACTCCTTAGTTCAACCAGTTCTTACCTTCACAGCTAAGATCCCGCTATGCCACAAACATTGTAGCGAACCACCCTCATTATTTTAGTGGGTATTAGGTCCCACTTGAGTAACTTTTTCCCATGAACCACTGCAGTGTGGAATCAACTCCCAAAAGCATGCTTCTCTCATCACTACAGACTTAAGGTTAATTGTTACCTTCCTCACATCTCCATATAAACTATACCTCTCACTCTGTAACACTCTACCTTGAGTGGTTCCTGAGCCTTGTACAATATTGTATATCATTGTTTAAAAAAGAAAGAAGGGGAAAATACTTAAGTTATGGGTGTGTGTTTGAAGTTGAAAAAGTTATTTTTTGACAAAGTAACTAAGCGTTGAATTGTTTGAGAAAATAAACTAGAGAGTGTCACTTTTATATACCGTACCTATGAACACTAATGTTTATGTCCCAATCCTCATAAATACATTGGGTACTGTTGTAAGTGGAAAATCTGCAACTTCTACAGAAAGAAAACTGAAAGAAACTGGTATGAACACCACCCAGACACGGTTACGGAGATAAAGACCTGTTACAATTCTATGGGACTACACAATACACAGAGACAGAACAATTAAAGATAATCACCCTGGCATCATTATTAGAGACAGCAAACAAAAAAATTGCCGCCTTATTGATATGGCAGTTCCTGCAGACTGCAATGTATGTTTGAAGATCTTCAAAAAACTATCAAAATACAAGGACCTTGAAATCAAAATCTCAAAAATGTGGCACATGATCTACCACTTTCAAATGGCCATGGTAATTCCCATGAGTCTATCCTGGTCAACACGGCACCAAATCTACCACTTTGTCCCCAGCACCTCAACCTCCGGCGTCTGCCTCTTTGGGTTGAGGTGTCCACTTGGTCCGAACTGAACTTAGGGGTAACTGGCCGTACGCTCCCTGAGTACCCGTAGATTATTTCGACCGGTCAACTGGTCAAGTCCTGCTTGCTGCCCATGCTGTGTTAGTTTTTAGATCCAGTAAGCGGGGTGTTGTCTATATGTTCACGGTCGACTGGGGGTGTGGACACGGCTGTGAGAGTTGGCGGTAGGAAGTTTAGAATGTGGTAAAATAAAACAAGAAATAATATCTGCAGAAGCCAGACAACAATGGAGGAAATATTGACGTCTTTTATATAAGAAGATAACATCAGAACAGAGGTTACAGGGAGAATAAAAACATTTAACATAAATGAGAAAAGAAAAAGACACAATGCATCCAGTGAATTCTCAACAGAGAGAGGGTTTGTGTGTTTATGACTAGTAGTCCAGTCTCATACAGACTTCTCAGAACCGGGGGCAGTCTTCCTTCTCTAATTCTCCTGCAAATCTCTCATGACTCTCTCGACAAGTCTCATTCTCTGAGTTTCTCTCTTGTCTTTTTGTAACACCACGACCTGTAATGGTCGCCTGCGGGTGCTCATGCACGTGACAATGATGTGCCAACCAATTGCAGTCTCTCCCATCTGGCCTCTTCCGTCTCACCCAACTGTCTGCTGCTTCCGCATAACTGCGCTGGTTTATATAGATAAATCTGTTTGATCATGAATCGACCATTGGCTTGGCACGTGATTATCATGAGTGCCAAAAACTATCCCATGACATGTAAACCGATTCTCCAATTATTTACCACGAGTTCTTCTTGCTTCACCAAAATTATATTTTGGGATATCTAAACATTGATTCAACCTTTTAATCAAAACAAATACTGTTAAACAAAACCAAATATCTCATAGCCTGAGTAAGCTCTATATCAATTTTTAACCGATAAATTTTATTTAGATCATTTTTTCATTGTTTTTTTCTAATGACCCAAATTTAAAACACTGCCTCCTGACTGAGATCGTGTTTCTCATCGGTAAACACACATCTTGACCCAAATTGTACTTTGATATATAAACACCATTTCCACTTCCAGTCAATAAAAGTTATATTTGCGTGTGTGTGTGTGTGTGTGTGTGTGTGTGCGTGTGTATCCTCTCTCTGTTACAATGAGAACATCAACAATCCCTATTGTTGTTGTTGGAGCGCTCAGATTGATTGGAAAAGATTCCATTAAACTCACTGAAGGGATTCCTGGAAGCCCATGCCTTAAAGAAATATAAAAAATTGTGCTCACAAGTACAGCCCACATCATACGAAGGTCTTTATGTAAAATGTGTGTGTTTTTTTGTTTTTTTTTTATTGGTCAGTGGAAAATAAATGTCAGGATGCCATTTCTGATCTTAGGTCTCTGGTTGGGACCCAGAAAGAAATGAGTATACAACAGAAATCCAAGGAAATAAAATAATAATAGTAGTAGTAGTAGTAGTAGTAGTAATATTGTTTGGGAGTAAGTCTTCAGATTTGTACATACAATAAATTTTGGATTAAACCTGTGTAGGAAGAATGATAAATTTTTTTGATTAATGCTTATTAATGTTTCCTTTTGTTCCCTATTAATTAATCCACTATATAAAGTTTATTATTATTGTGCATTCCATTTGATAAAATTTCTTAATTCTCATAAAATGTATCCATTTTAAATCTTTGTTATGACAGCTTTCACAAGCCAGTCTTCTATTTGTCGACAACCCTGTTGGAAGTGGGTATAGCTATGTGACATCAGAGGATGCTTACACAACCGATGTCCAGACAATTGCCAAGGATTTGTTGACAATGCTGAAGAATGTGATGAACAGAAAGCCCAATATGCAGGTAAGATAGTACAGCCCCAACCTTTTGACAGAAGAGACTGGCACCATGATGCCGCTCTTGTATAGAGTAGAATCAGACATTAAAAGCGACTCTATTCAATAGAGAAATTCATTTCAGTTTGAAGTATACAGAAGATCGACTTTAAAATTTGCATAAGTGTTCTGGTACATCCAGGTCTGCAATCCCTGAGCATCTTGTTAATAATCAGCAATACACATTGTCCTACTATGGGGATATGTTTTCTGGGTTGAGTAGATCACATTTTAATTTTCATCTGAAAGTTTTTGAAATAGCTTTTATTAAATCGAGACAACCTCCTTTGTGCAAAGGGGAATGGTCATTGGGTTTCAATGTGTTCTGCTTATGACATTATTTAAGTCATTGTACACGTCATTTTATTTCCTCACTTGTGCTCTGACGAGAGTAAGGGACGAAAACCAGTCAGCTGTTTCTAATATTTTTTTTCTCCCCATATTGCCATTTATTGTGGCTGTATGTTCTTTTGTCCAATTTTCTCTTCTCTCTTTTTTAAAAATTTGTATGTTTATGTAACAGTGTATGAAGTCTGATCAAAAAGTATTGGCACTGCTTGGCACACATTGACCTTGAACTTGGTCGCTCTTACAAACTCTTATGACGTTCTTGCTTACTTCCATTGTTTGGAAGGAAAGTGTGTAGTGTGGTCATCTCATCACACCACAGAGGTTCCATCAATGACCATAACTTTCTGACACAACATTCCCTAAATTTTGCCCCTTGTGACTTTTCCTCTTTAGAAATCAAATCCTGCTTGAAAGGAACAAGATTTCAAAACATCTGGCAAATCCAAGAGAATGTTATAAGGCAACTGCTTGTTATCCCAAAAAAGGAGTTCCAGGAGTGTTTCCATCAATGGAAATGATGCTTGATAAATTGTACAGCTTCAGAAGGGGACTACTTCGAAGGAGATTAAATACTGAATTGATATGTGTTATAGTTTTCTTTTTACATCACTGCCTCTAGTAATCATGTCCACACAAACATTTATATACACAAAAGCTGACTATCTGCTAATATGTATTCAGTTGTTAAAGCAGAATAACATTTTTATTACTTCCAAGCACCCAAGAAAATTAAATTTTGACATTTAAATGATAATTTGTGCACAGGACAAAAGCCAAGTGAATTAAATTGTTGGTTGTGACTTGGATTCTTTTAGTTGAAGGCATACAATTGCATTCCAAATATATTTAGTTGTAGTCATTTTGCCCATTGTGCCTTTCAGGTAACCTTCATAGAATTTCTGATCCTGGGTATGATAATAAACTACATCCGGCAGCAAGGCCTCAGACCAGGAGATTAGAAGTTTTGAGAAGCATGGTACCACCTCCTAATTGCTGCTGTTCCCAGGTCCACCCTGACATTGTAACACCTGTTAGGGTCCCAACTATGGCCAAATAGTGGCCCCCACCCAGATAAGAACAAAACACTATAAAAGTATAAAAATAAATTTTTATAATAAAAGTACCAGTAATACATTTTTATATAAAACATATGCATATTTATATTAGTTACCAGCAATACATTTTACTGCTAAATGACCACCATTTTATCTGTAGTTAAATCCAAAATATAACTTCAGCAAAACTGCAATAGAAAAAACACACATATCACCGCCTCTAGTGATTATGTCTGCACAAACGTGTATATGCACAAAAGCTGAGTATCATCTACCATGTATTCAATTGTGAAAGCAGAATAACATTTTTATTACTTCCAAGCTCCCAAGGAAATTAAATTTTGACATTTAAATGATTGCACACAGGATGAAAACCAATTAAATTGTTGGCTTGTGAATTTGGTTTTCAAATGCCTTAAGGTGTCAGCATGTTGTGACTTGGATTCTTTAGAAACAGTTTCAATTTTGGTCATCTACATCCGCATACCTGCTGGAATGTATTCAGTCTTCTGGATCAAAATTTCCACTTGTGAACCCATTGAACAGCTTATGAACAATATTCTCAGCTGTGGCACCATCAGTATAAATGGCACTTATCTATTTTGCTGTTTGTACATCTCATTTTCCTTCATTTTGACTTATACTAAATCTTTAAATTTCTGAGATGAGAAGTTACCAATATTTACATACAGACTATTGTCCTCATTGTTGTTGTTGTTATTACAGGGAATTCAGAACTGAACACTTTATTTAATCTATGAGGATAGACTATTCTCATTCCACCAAAATCTGTGGAAATAAAACAGCTTACCCCCCCATAAATTAAATAATGCTTTCATTTCAGATTCCTCTGTAGGTTACCCAAATTGATGTACACCTGATGAAAGCCATAGGTCACACTGTCTGAAACATTGTGATAATGACAAAGATGAGGACAAGATTTTGCATGTAAATAATAAAACCTTTAATATTCACAATCCACACATGTATTTGATAGACACATTGAAATGTCACCTTTCAGAATATTTACGTGACATAAGTGAAACAAAATCGAATTTGAACATGCCACTTATTGAAAAGCCATGTTCTATAATTCGCAAGACAAAAACGACTGAATGTTTGATTTATACTCTAACTGTATCACTAGTGAATTAGTTTGGGGGCAAGGTGTCATCATTTTATAGTTGAAATGGCAAAATGGAACAGTAAATTCTATGCTAACAGTTTCTAATCTTGCACTTCTAACTTCCTGCTTCTACAGTTAACTTTGATCTTCAAAAATTTAAATGAAATATTCTTTCATCCTCAGTAACTGATTGCATCTTACTGACTTTATTGCCTTGCATAGAGAAAAATGATTCAAACTTAAATGCAATGTCAATTGTTATCTTCTATCTTAATTCCTCCTCTTTATTGTTAATGTTTTTCTTTTTCTCATATTCTTTCACACTCAGTAGCCCATTGCATCTTAGTGGTTTTATTCTCTTCCATAGAGAAAAATGATTAAATGCAATGTCAATCATCTTCTTAATTCCTCTTTTCTTGTTCTCTCTTCTTATAATGCTTTTCTTTATCTCATATTCTTTCACATTCAGTAACCCCTTGCATCTTGGTGGCTTTATTGCCTTGCTTGGGATGATATTAAATAAGCAAAAAGAATTTTTTTTATCGATATATGCATTTATTTTAATGCTTACATATCCCACACTACTTTAGTATTAATTTGGTTAGGACAGGCAAAAAACTGAAATAGCTTGATAGTAAAAAATATAAAATATAATTTACTCAAACATGTATTGAAAGTGCTGTAATCTATGAATCAATCAATATACAACCTATATATATATATATGCTTCTTTACCTATACTTTCCTGTTTTATCCATTGTGACAACTCCACAGAAGAAGGTGTGATTTTTAACTCAGTCTCAGGTGTTTTGCTTTATAGTAAGCAGTGGGGGAGTCTTTGAAGTCAGATCTTCTAAGTGGCACCCACGTGATCAAAGGAGACCAAATAAGTCCAAGAAAGCATTTGGAATCAAGTGACAACAAAACTGGACATTGATGACTTCCAGTTGTTCGTCTCTATTAACAGTCATGATTGGAATAAAGGAGGTTTGTTTCATATTACCAGCCATACATTCTAAAGTGGGGCTGGGCTCTTATACTGATATGTCAGAAGTTGTCCCAAGTGTCACCTTTCTATCCACCTTTTGGCTTGTAAACAGCTTTTTGCTAGCATAAAGTCACAGACTAAAATTAGGACTGAACAGTGAATTATTTTTACATATATTTTTCACCTAAAAAGTTCAAATACTGGTCATTGTGCAAAAGATTGTTTTAATAGTAATCATGTATGCTGAGAGAGAGAAGAGATATTTAGAACTAGTGATAGTGCAAAAAAAGAAGAAAAATATGGATGGGGTTGGGGGGGAATTTGGACAAAGCATCTTGAGATACAAAGAAGAAGGTGCATAACTTGGACAATTTCAATACAAGAGAAACCAGAGTTTTCTTATATTTGTTTTCCCCTATTGAAACCCTTACCAAAATACATTCACTTGAGTCAACGCTACCCAGCGGATGTACACGTGGGACCCCCCCCAATAGCTTCCCTTCTGATATTATTTATCTTAATTTTTATTATTACAGAATGGAGAGTTTGAGTTGGGTGAAGAGGGGAGTGAACTGTCATTTTAGGCAGTAGCAGCAAGAATTCAGGCCTGACTCATTGTAGTTGAAGAACTACCCGGTTCACACTCCTCCCCGTCTTTTGAACAGGAGTATCGACATGTCTTGTTTCATGTTTAGGGATTCTGGTTCCTTCTAAATTCTACTTCCATGCTATACTTCTAACATCTCCACTGAAACTCTGAAATTTATACTACAATTGGGCTTCTGGTTCCTTCTAAAGTCTTTTCATTCTCTTTCACTTCCAGTAGCCCCTTGCATCTTAGTGGCATTATTGCCTTGCTTGGGGGTGAATTGATTTAAAAAAAAAAAAGAGAATCCTCTTGATATGATAGTGAATGATAGGCAATCTCCACACAGATGAAGAGAAAACTGGAGGTAAAAGAAATGTGGTTCTACAGAAGGATACTGAGAATTCCATGGATGGAGTGAGTATGCAACATGGATATCTTAAAGAAAATGGTAACAAAAAGAACATTTATACCTCAGATTCAGATAGACAAATGAAATTTTTGGGACACTTAATGCAGAGGGAAGGTTTGGAAAACTTAACCCACCCCAGGTATATGGAAGATAAGAGAGATAGGTGAAGACAGCAAACTGCTGACCTGAATAATAAAAAAAAAACATTTTTTAAAGACCCTAAATATATTGAAAAAGGGGTTTGAGTTTTTATTTTTCAACATGTTTGTTTTGACCTATTGTTTCCTTGTGAACATACAGTAGGCCTTTGCCAGTTTTTAAGGCGAGGGTATGCCAATACAAATGTGGGGTAGTCATTGGCTTATTGGTGGAAGGAAGGATGGCTGAGGGTCTTGTATGTTTACACTATGTCTTTCAAGCACTAAAATATTTCTTTGACTATTTCAGAAACTTCCCTTCTACATTTTCGCTGAATCATACGGAGGAAAAATGGCTGCTGCTTTTAGTCTGCTGTTATTGGAAGTAAGTTGTTTTTAATTCCAAAATTTAATTTTGATATTTTTTATTTTTTTTCCCTCCTAAACTTTTCTGTGGGTTTGGCATTAGTGTCAAGGATTCCTTGTAAAAAAAATCTTACCCTAAATCATTCTGCTTTGTTAGTTTTTAGTTTTTTTTATACCTCACAATACCAGAATTTGTTATCAGGAAGAATTAGATTCATGCCTCTCAAAGGGACATTTGTACGAGATGAACCTACCATATCTAGAATTATTTGCAAATTTGATTTTTAGTGAACTCTGCTGGATATTCAGTTGGTGATTCCATTAACTCTGCACTAATAGCCTTAGAAAAGGCATGACTGTTTTTCTCAATTCTAGCTATTAAATAGCAGAGTAGACTAAGCTTTCTAGCTTTGGTTAGTAACTAGTCTAAAAGAAGAGCAATGAATTCAAAAACCCTGGAGAAGGCTGCAGGAAATCATTATCAAGAACAATTATAGTAATGCAGTTGAAAGATATTAAAGAAAAGAAAGCTGTGGAGATCCATAGTCATCTACAGTATGAGGCAAAAAAATGGACACACCCATAGAAATTTGATTTTTGTATTTTTAGTAAGACTTTAGTAAGAATTTTGAGTAATAGAATTTGTTTATTAATACAAAGTATTAATACATATGTACATTATACAAGTCAAAAATGATTTAGTATTTTGTTGGGTAACCTTTTATTTAACAATAGCCTTAATTCTTTGTGACATGCTATAGACTAAATTCTTTAGTAAGTAAATGTCCTTCACCAGATTTATGGATACAAATATATAACTGATATTTTTTGAAAAAAATTTTAATTTTCAAAAAAATTCAACCTCAGTGTTGCGACTGCATGCTCCAAAAGTTTGTATCCATTATCAATAACACATTTAAAAAAAAAAAAAGAAAAAAAAAAGTATTTCGATTCGTATTATATTTTTCGTCTCGGATGCTACATGAATTTTACCAAAAACAAAATAATTTCCATGCCTGAAGATGACTGAATGTACAGTTGAAAGTACTTGCGTATTAAAGACAGACCTTATACAGCTTAAAATTTTAAAAAACAAGGATCATAACATTCATCAAGTGATTGGTAGGTTAATGCATCTTTAAAATTTTGTTAGCAAAGGGATTTCACCATCATTAACTTTACTAATTTACTTTTTGTATGAATGATTCATTGTAATATAAACTGAACTGCAACACATATTTGAGATGAGGTAAAAGTCATGCACCATAAAACACTGTGCCTGCATGATTTATAAAAACATTGGAGAGTTTCCTCTCTCATGTTATGACATTCATATTAACCATTAGGGTGAGTGACTTTTGTCGTACACCATAGAGATAATTTATTAAAAGTATAATTACACATGAAAATTTTATTTACTAGTTATTTAATTGTTATATGTGCTGTTCAAAATGTCCTCCTTTCTTTTTCAAAACACATTTCGATTCCATGTCTACCTGATTCACTAAGACATCGGAGAGTTTCCTCTGTCATTTTATTGCATTCATATTTCTTTAAGTTTCTCTGTATTTCTTGGGCATGTCTGATAAACTGATGGCCCCCACAGAAAAAAGGTGAGGGTCTGTTGACCTCGATGGTCACTGAACAAGACCTCTTTAACCTATCTATTAACCCCTATGGTGTGTGACTTTTGCCTCACCCTGTGTATATACTGTATATTTCAGTGTATAAGGCAACCATTAAATTTTAAAATTTACCCCCCAAAATAGGGTTTGTGTAATAAAACAGTGATAAAAAGCTAAACTTAAATCTTGTGGTGTATCTGTACTGGTAAGTAGGCTAGTATGTTTGCACCATGGATTGCAGGTAGCTAACAACTGCCTTGGTATGGTGACTACCAATGTAAATATTTCTAGTTGAAACAATTCACATTATAATGCTGTACTACAGTTATAAATGCAATAAAACTATTTTTACTTCTTGATTTCACATTAAAATGCAATATTCAAGAGACAACAAACAAGAATTTGCAAAAGTTCCGGTGAGCAACATGCACATGTAACAATTACTTGTTACTTGTAACAACTTATAAACAAATCTTTCATTCTTGATTTGTAGAGATATGGCTGTGTTCACACCAATCATTATTTCTCACACAAGTGTTAAATAACAACATTTGAGAATAACATACAATCTATATTTCTAATTGAAATTCCTTATCATTGTGGTGTTAAAAAAACAACAATATTTAGTATAACATGCAAACTTTATTTTTCAATAAAATTCATTATACAATATATTTATTTATTTATTTTTTTTTTTTTTGCAGTGTTAAGCAACAAAACATTTAAGATGCGATAAAATCTTTATTTCTCATTGCAGAATAAAAAACACAAGTCACCCACATACATAATTAAAAAGCTTCATGTGAGGTTGAGTTCACTTAATTGAATGTTTTTCTTTTTTATATAATGTGTAAAATTTCGATAAAAGTTATTGGATAAACTTGTTTAAATTGAATTTTAAACAGTTTGTAACAGTTTCTGAAATGAAATTCGTAATGTTAAGAGTTTGGTAACAAGAGTTACCTTCCTTCGACAATATGTTTGTGTATATCAAAGAATGTATAAAAAAAAAAATCTTACAAGAATTCTGGAAGGTAGCTTGTTCTTCAGTCAAGAATTAAACTTGATGAAAAATAAATTCCGTTGTAAGACTGTTCTGTAGATTCAGTCAAGATTCAATTGTGATTGAGAAATTTTCAGTAAGTTATAAATGAGTCCAGAAGAAGTTGGTGAGTGATTGATCAAGTTGAATGTTTTAACTTGAATTTCAATGAAATTATTTTGTGTTGAGGAAATTAAAATTCTAACTTTGTGCTTCAATGATACAAGCATCGTAGACTAGTTTAGCAAATGCTAGTCATTTGTAAATTCTCAATTTACCTACACAACCTTCCCCTACACTTTTGTAACATTTTTGACCTGACAAAATAGTTAATTGGCATGTCTCCACCATAATCTTAGACTACAGATATCAGATAAAATCACAAAAATTTACTTAGATTTGGCATCTCATCCTATCTATAGGTCACTTCATATGTGGAAATATACATTGTACACACACACACACACACACACACACACATATATATATATATATATGGTTGAATATTTGAATATACACTACTGCTTCTACATAGAAGACACCATCCATGAAGAACTGAAGCTGACTCCCCTAACCTCTCTCATCCACACTAGACAGACATGCTTGCAGAAGTGATGAAGTTTCCCACATACACACACCCACACAAATATATACACATACACACACACACACACTCCCCGCCAAAAAAAACCTAAAAGATAACATACACATAATGCACACATCCCCTTCCCAGCAACCAATAAAGCTGTCAAAATGACTAAGGCGATAAATCTGAGACTCATGAGCACCTCCCCCACGGGCCTCTTCTTAAAAGAACTTGAAAAAGGCCTTTGACCAATACAAGGACTGACCAAACATTAACAATAAAAAAAACAAATGAAAACTACAGGCAAAGTTCATCTTCTCCAGAGTCATTCACCTCCTGTACTAACAAGAATTTTTTCTCCTGATGATGGCCATACTTGCCGAAACTAGTCGGGGATCCTAATTAAAAAAAAATTATACAAAAATATTAATATACAACCCAGTGTGTCTGAAATTTTAACTTTTAACATTTTTTTATTGTTCAAGACACACATATATATATATATATATATATATATATATATATATATATATATATATATATATATATATATATATATATATGAATGAGAAAATTAAGAACTAAATTACATATATCTAATAATAATGTAAATGGGTTTTTTTACAACCCCCATATTATTAAAGCTGTAATGATTCTAATAGATGGTTAAATTTAAATTACATGTCACTCAAATGATTGAATTAGCCTGGCAATCATGTGAAATTCAAATGCTTGCTTGTAATTTACGATACAGGTTAGAGGAATGAATTGGCTTCTCTTTGTGCTCTGACATGCCATGATTGTTAAAGAAAAAGAGTAGCCAATTAAATAAGCCATGCTCTCATAACGACTCCATTTGTCCAGGTAATAAGAATGAAAATACGATTACTAGTACAGGTAGATCACTGATTTTTCAGCATCCTTGGTTCCAGAAAAATGTTAGATTGTCCATTTTACCAAATTAACAGAAACCACTCAGTATCTGTCTATATTTCTGAGATGACGTATTATGCACACTATTTACATTCAACTTGATCAATCACTCACCAACTATTGTCCTCAACCTTGTTACAATGTTTCGGCCATTGTACACTCCAGCCTTCTTCATGTGGTTGGAATGTCAAACTGAACCCTTTATTTCACTCCCTGGGGTAGACTGTTTTAGTTCCACATGCCATGTTTAGTGGATGTCAGTTATCTCTTACTGAATTCCCTTTCCAAATTCTCCACCACCTTAACCAGGTATTGAAATCACACTCTTTGGGACCTGTCACTAGATCTAACCACTGTGCCATGTGTTCTCAAGTTAGATCCAATGGTAATATTTTCTCTCTCTATATATACATACATATATATATTATATATATATTGTATTATATATTATATTATATATTATATTATATATTATATTATATATATTATATTATATATATTATATTATATATTATATATATTATATTATATATTATATTATATATATATATATATATATATATTATATATATTATATATATATATATATATATATATATATATATATATTATATATATATATAGAGAGAGAGAGAATTTGTTTTATGGAATATCAACCTCAATGGGTTTTTTAATGCTGATAAGATTTTTATTGTTGGTAATTATTTTTTTCCTTCAAAGATTTATTGCTGGTATTAAAACCTATTTTTAAACTTTCATAGTTTTTTTTACCCCAGTTTAGGGGTTAACTAATTGCCCATAGTTGGGACCCTAACAGGTGCTACCACTCAAGGTCAGGGTGGACCTAGGAACACCAGTAATTAAGAGGTGGTTCCACACTCCTCATAATATCCTCATCAGAGGCCTTGCTGTTGGATGTAGTTTATCGTCTTACCCAGGACGCAGACATAGCTTATCATCTTACCCAGAACGGTGTAGTGTCAGTCTGCAAGATCTGATGAAAGACAGTCTTATTTAAGACAGAGACAATTCATTTGAAGCTATTGGACTATTATTAAATACACCTTTGTGGTCAGCTAGTGAATTAGTCCAGTGATTGTGTGAAATTCATATGCTTGCTTTTAATTTAATCACTTTTTATTTTAAGAGGTTCAAATCGTTCCTTGCCATGACAATTGGTGGTGCACCTCTATTTGTTATGCTTTTTTTCTGTACTTTCAGGCAATCAAAAGAGGTGAAATAAATTGCCAATTTGAAGGAATCGGGATGGGTGACTCATGGATTGATCCCGCAGCATCTGTTAAGTCTTGGGGTCCATTTCTCTTGTTGATGGTGAGTGTTACTGCCAATAATCTTTGGAAATGTTGAAAATGCTAGAATTACTTTGTTAATCCCTGGAACATGCATATATTGTTGCCGAGTATTGGGTTGTTCATCATCATTTCATTCTGTGTTAAATGACTTCTATGTTGGATCTGAAGAGACGTCTGCAGCCACCTCATGGTTGGGTAGGAGGGTTCAAGGGATGGAGAACTCTCTTCCTCTCTTTTATCTTCCGTTTTTTTTCAAAGGATGTTTTTTCATGGACTGTTCTTCGCCAATTGGTTCTTTACAGACATATAAATATTGTAATCACATATCTTAAAATCCCGAATGTCGAAGTCCTGAAATTTAAAATACCAAAAATTGAAATCCTGAATGTATAAAAGTCCTTAAAGATCTGAATTCCAAAACATAGTCTTTGAGAGAAATTGAAAAAAAAAATTTTGGAAATACTTTCGTTTCTAAACATTTACAAAATACCATTTAAATAGTATTCATATATCTGAAGCATTTCAAAATTCATTTAAAAAATATAAAACCAGAATATATCGATAACTTATAATGAAAGATTAGAAGCCCTAAGATAGTCAATAAGATCTGGTTGGTTTTCAAGATTGTTAACGATATTTTTAAGCTTTTCATCACAATAAAACACTTTTTTTTTCTTTTTGGACAAGACTCTCCACAGAGAATTCGTTCACATTTGTTTTTATGTGCTGCTGCTCTTTTTGAAACTCTCCAATAATGTGAGAAACACCAACATTGTCTACTAAATTTTCCCTTCGTCTGTGCCATCTTTTCAATAATATAAAATGTGACAAAGTGGCCCAATGAAAGAAAGTTAATTTGTGAAAAAAAAAAAATATAAATTGAAAACGGTCTAAAAGAGTTAAAGGACAGAACAATAGACATACCAAGAAAAGCAGTGAAAATGTTTCTTTCATCTTCAAAAAGAAAGGAAAAACCTATTTTTTTCACTCTTCCTGAAAGCATGGACAGGCGATAAAAAGTGAATGATCATAGGGTTGAAAAGAATGTGGAATTATTTGGGTTTTGTTTGTTTTACAGCATGTCAACATCAATGGGTCATTTAATGCCAACAAGTTTTTTTCCTAGTAATATTTTTGTTTTGTCAAAAATCTATTTCTGGTAATATTTTTTTCTTCAAAAATGGATAGCTGATAATATCATTTTAAAAAATGTATTGCTGGTAATATTTTTTTTTCTTCAAAAATCTATTTTTGGTAATAATTTTTTTTACAAAGTATTTCTGGTATTAAAACCTATTTTTACACTTTCATTGTGCTTTGACCCCAGTTTGGGGATTAACTATTTACTCATAGCTGGGACCCTAACAGGTGCTACCAACCAAGGTTAGGCCGGACCTGGGAACACCAGCAATTAAGAGGTGGTTCCACGCACCTCAAAGCCTCCTGATCAGAGGCCTTGCTGTTGGATGTAGTTGTCTTACCCTGGACACAGATGTAGTTTATCATCATATCCAGGATGGGGAATTATTTGGGATTTCTTAACATAAAAGCCTGAAGATAACTTATAGATTTGATTAATGTAGCAAAGAAAATGGTGAATTACCTGACTGGTGAGAGATATGGCTCTAAAGTGGGAGCAACAGGGAGGAGTAAATTCTGTGCCCACACCCTGCAGAACGAGGTAATTCCCAAATTTGGAAATGTTAATACCTTCCAAGAAAATGCTAAAGAAAGAAGCTTTGTTAGAATTGGATTAATTAATTAAAGAACTTTGGGAAAACACTGAAAATCCCACCCTAGCTCAGAGTTAGTCCATAAAACAAGATACTTGGGGCATTTTAACAAAATAGTTGGGCACAGTGAGAACCGTTGGGTAAAGACAGAAGAGAGTTGAGATTCAAGAGACGACCAGCCAGATCAGCTGCTGAAAATTACAAGACTGGAGAACAAGTGCCAACAAGTACTACTTTACTAGCAAAACTTACCTGACCTACAGATAGTGTTTCCAGCAAAGTGAGAGCCAGCGAGTCACTAATCGTTTCATGGGGGAAGGGTTGAATTCTTAGTTATATTCTAAATTTATATAAAATTGTTGAATTTGACCAGTGAGTTTGTTGGAGTTAACTCCTCCTTAATTGTCCAAATTGTTCCTAGGGGGCGCTATCCCTAAACTATAAATACTTCTTTCTCTCTTTTTCCACTTCAGCAGACACACTTGAGAAATGTGATCTTTCATGGAGATACACGTTTCACACTTGTGGTAAGATGCCATAAACATTATGCGTGCACACACACACACACACGCACACACACAAGTACAAAGATACTTTGAAACAAACTCTTTACATTCATGCACACACAACACATGTTAATGCTTTTGTTTTTTGTAAACTCTTTTCATTGTTTGATGCATATACCTGTTTGTACATATATATCGGTTTTTGGTTGTTTTTGTTTTTGTTTTTTTTTGTTTTTTTTTTAACATTTCTTTTGGGTGGACTCATCTTGAGTCCGCCATGTTTGTAGTGCACTTTATTTCAGGAGACCACAAGTGTTCCTATCACAACGCGTAAAAAAACTCAGTTTTTACATTATCCGAACTATTGTCCTCATCTTTGTTGCCATATTTATTACAATGTATAAATATTTGATTTTTATACCAATATTTTTTTTTTTTTTTTTTTTCAGTCTCTCATCGATTCTGAAGGTTATGTACAAGTAGACAATGCTGCCTCGAATGTGACGGAATTGGTCAAAAAAGGTCAATTCGTGAAGGCAACATTAATGTGGAGACTTACAGAGACTATCGTGGCTAAACTGACTTCCGGGGTCAATTGGTACAACGTTATGAAATGGTCTCCGCAAAAGGCACAATTTTCTGTTCCTTACATAAATGCTTCCATGGATGTCAGTAAGTAATTAAAACCCACCTGAAGAGGCTCCCTGAAGAGCCCCGTATATGTTTTAGGTTTAGAGATTTTGTTACTTAGTCACAACAGCAATAATGTCAATTGTGAGGAACATATAAATATAAAACCAGAATATATGGATAATTTAAAATGAAAATATACAAAAAGACACGATAATTACACATACATACATTCATACACCCTTGTGCAAGTGAATTGAAACAAAACAAATAATTCCGTTAGTTACTTTTTTCCTATTTTCCCAATGAAACTGACCAAGTGCACATGTTAGTACTTCACATGTCCATTTCACAAAATCATTTCTTGCAGATTCTCGATTGGTTTTAAATCAGGAGAGTTTCTGAGCCAGTTGATAGTACTTTGATTTACTCACTGGTAAAGTTTGCCAGTATGTTCGTGCCGTGTTACAATTTTCGTATGCTTCCTTGGAGTAACATTCATCGCAGACAATGTCCGACAGTCAACTAGGACAACTAATCAGCAGTCGAGACAATAATGTCTGGGCGTAATAAAAATCACATGCAATCACAAATGATGAAATATTTTTCAAGGCCAAACAAATTTCATCATCCGCCCCCAAAATAAATTCATATTACTGCACACAACTGCAAATGACCTAATCTGAAAAAAGATAGAAATTGATTACACAGTGTCACTCAAGTGGGTCTAAAACTGACTGTATGGTGAAAGAAAGAAAACTCAAGTGGTTGTTTCAATTAATTCGCCCAAGGGTGTATGTTTAGCTGAAATTTCCCACAAGCCTGCTACCACATGACCTCTTAGGGCTAACAAAAGTACTACAGATTTCTTTCTTTTAACCAGGGCCTCCAAGAGAAATTTTGCAATGTCGTACAAGACCTCTTTGGGGCCCTGAGGCAGGCAAAGATTTAGGTATAAGGTCTCATAAATGTTTTATTATCATGATCAGATATAACTTCTATAAAGTCCTTGCGGAATGAAATAAATAATACATACAGGCACATGTGGACATAATGATTCTGGGGTTTACTATTCCCGTCATTACACTAATTTACACATCTATGTATCTACCCAGGGCCTGTAGGTAGATACTCTTGGCATTATCAGATGATTATCTACTCCGGGGATGTAGGTAGATACTCTTGGCGTTATCAGAAGTTTATCTACTCCGGGGATGTAGGTAGATACTCTTGGCGTTATCAGATGTTTATCTCCTCCGGGGATGTAGGTAGATACTCTTGGCGTTATCAGATGTTTATCTACTCCGGGGATGTAGGTAGATACTCTTGGCGTTATCAGAAGTTTACCTACATGGGGATGTAGGTAATACTCTTGGCGTTATCAGATGTTTACCTACTCTGGGGATGTAGGTAGATACTCTTGGCGTTATCAGATGTTTATCTACTCCGGGGATGTAGGTAGATACTCTTGGCGTTATCAGATGTTTATCTCCTCCGGGGATGTAGGTAGATACTCTTGGCGTTATCAGATGTTTACCTACTCCGGGGATGTAGGTAGATACTCTTGGCGTTATCAGATGTTTATCTACTCCGGGGATGTAGGTAGATACTCTTGGCGTTATCAGATGTTTATCTACTGCGGGGATGTAGGTAGATACTCTTGGCATTATCAGATGTTTATCTACTGCGGGGATGTAGGTAGATACTCTTGGCGTTATCAGATGTTTATCTACTCCGGGGATGTAGGTAGATACTCTTGGCGTTATCAGATGTTTATCTACTGCGGGGATGTAGGTAGATACTCTTGGCGTTATCAGATGTTTATCTACTCCGGGGATGTAGGTAGATACTCTTGGCGTTATCAGAAGTTTATCTCCTCCGGGGATGTAGGTAGATACTCTTGGCGTTATCAGAAGTTTATCTCCTCCGGGGATGTAGGTAGATACTCTTGGCGTTATCAGATGTTTATCTCGTCTGGGGATGTAGGTAGATACTCTTGGCGTTATCAGATGTTTATCTCCTCCGGGGATGTAGGTAGATACTCTTGGCGTTATCAGATGTTTATCTACTGCGGGGATGTAGGTAGATACTCTTGGCGTTATCAGATGTTTCTACAATTAGGCCTACAATAATTACTAATGAATACCAATAAAAAGAAGTGTAGTGTAGTGTTTAATGATGTTTGAGTATGTGAATGTAAGTGCATGTTGGGCTGGGGGTAGGAGAAAGTGCTTCTCGAGGAGGGGATTGGTGTGGCATGATTGCTGTGGGGCCTTTCTCAGCCCTGGAACAAATTATCCCCTGGGCTCCCTTCTCATAGCTCCTGCTTTTACCTACTGCTGGTCTACGAGACAACATGGTAAATATCTGCTCCCTATTAAGGGTGAAATCTGTCCCTTTATCATCTCTTTCAGTTTGTTTCAAATTTTTGTTGTTTCTGGTTGAAAAGTGTTTTCCTTGTTTGGTTTGGGCTTTTTGTTGTTGTTGTACAGTATATCAACACCTCAATGGGTCTTTAATACTTCCCTCTATCTTTTCTACATATATTTTCATGACACTTGCTCTGAACTATTTTCACTGGTGCTTCAACTGCATGAATTTAAGCGTGCTACTAGGTTGGTATCTTGGTCCCACCCTTTTACTGTCGAAACAGTTAAATCTAACTGCCTCTTCTACTCCATCTGCTTCTTCTCTCGCACTTCCCAACAGTGGAACTCCCTTCCTCTAACTTGCTTTGCTGATAACTATAATCTTCAAAAATTGAAATGTAATGTCAATCGTCATCTTCTGATACCTTGATCCCTGTTCTTTTTATCTTTTCCTCAATCCCACCCCTACCCCATACCCAAGTCTTTTCTCTTACTTTTGCTCTCTGTAACCCCTTGCGTGTTAGTGACACCCCCACCTTGCCTGGAGTGAAATAATTATAAAGAAAAAAAAATATGTTTGTAGATCAGGTTTCATTATTGTAAAGGTTTTTTTTCGAGAATCTGGTTTCATTGATGTCTTTTTCGAATATACAGTTTGTAGAGAAATTGATTTTATTGACATTCTCATTTGGTTTATGTTTTTGGAGATTGACTCATTGTTTTAAGAAATCATATTATGTCATCCATTTTTGCTTTCTCAAAGAGCTTATACATGTTGTTTATATTATAGCATTTTTGTCTTGAGAGAGAGAGAGAGAAAGGTCTGAACACTCGGTTAATATATGTTTAATAGTGTATGTCATTTCACATGCTTGGCATACGTTGTTTAGCAAGTATGAGTTGATTATTCTCGTGTGATTAATGCGTAAGCAGGTCAGTATCATTTCTTCTTTTCGTGATTTTCTGAAAGCAGACTTCCATTCTCCTACTTTGGGCTGAATTGCAAAGAATTTTTTGTGTGAATTATTCTTCCAGCACTGTTGCCATTACTTTTGAATATATTTCTTAACGACCTTCTTAAAGTCAGTGGATAAGATTTGGGTCCTTGTGCCTACATTCATATCTAAAGCTAATTTGCTTACTGGCTTTGCTTTAATGTTACCTTCCACTCCGATGTGGCTCAGAATCCAACATTGTTTGATGTCTTTGTGTGCAAGTGGTGCTTATTTTGCATCATAGTTTGATAATGAGTTAGTTGTTGGCTTTTTTTTCCCTTCAAAGTCATTAAGACAGAAGTAAGTCCAAAAAAGGTAAGAATTTTTTTTTTGTTTGCTGTGTGTGATGATGTTGAGAGCTACTTCTATTGCGTAAGCCTCCGCAGTGAAAAATAGAGCTTCCCTTTGGGTGGTGCTTTTTGAGGGGGTAATATTTTGGCTCACTGCTGCACATCCTGTCTTGTCCTCACATTATCACCAGTCTGTATAGTTAGGGCACTTTTCCAATATGCCCTGAAACTTGTTCTGGAATGTGAGTGGGTGGTTTTTAGGGAGTTTTAGTTCTAGAATGACTTCAGGTTGCTTGATTGTCCATGGTCAAGTACTGATTGTAGTCATTTTTTTGTATGTTTGAGATTGAGGTCCTTAACTCTTCAGCAATGGATTTCATCCAGAGTCCATAGGGTTGTATTGTCTTTTCGTTGGAATAGATTGCAGTAATTAGGTTTAAGGCTACTGCTGTAAACTGGGTTAATTAGGCATGATTTTTTTTTTTTTTTGACATAATACTATAGTGCCAATTTAGTGTACCATAAATGTGGAGGTGTTTCATTAGCTTCTGTGTATAACCTCTCCACTGGCGATATCCTAAAGACCTCAAGTATTAGTCTGAGGCCTTGATAATAGGTTGTTTTGAGTATTTTCAGGTATGATTTTTTGGCCGCACCACATATGAAACTAGCATAATCCAGTTTTGAGCAAAGTAGTGATCTGTATAATTAATTTAATGTTTGTAAATCTGCTCCCCATTCAGTATGGGTCATTACATGTCGAAGTTGGAGGACTTTATTTTTTAAATATTTTAGATGTGGAATGAATGTTTATTTTTTTTTGTCAAAGATGGTGCCTAAGTGTTGTAGAGTAGTTTCACAGTGGAGGCTTGTATCTCACTAAGTCAGTCCTAAAAAGGTTCGACATACAAAATGTTAGGAACTTGTTATAATAGTTAATGATGCTGCAATCTAGTTATGGTGGTTGATACTTTAATGTCCGACATCAACTGACTCACCAACTCACTCAGCCCCTTGGCGACTGCTGCTACTACTACTACTTATTATAGGTGGGAGAGTCTATTAACAATAGAATAGGTATGTTCCAGTATAACACTAAGAATTTGTGTTGTTCCACCATTGGGATTTCTGCTCCGTCTAATTTTAAGCAGGGGTCGTTGTGCAATTTTCTTTATTTTCAGAAACACAGGGATTTGATTTTCATTTTGGAAAAAGTAAAACCATTTTCAGTGGCCCATTTGTGTATTTTATTGAGGCGTCATTGAAATTGTCTTTCTATGGTATGCATATGTTGAGATCTGTACATTATTAGAAAGTCGTCGACATATAGGGAGCATCTCACTCCTGGGCTGAGGGATTTAAATATGGAGTTAATTTTTATGCAGAATACAGTCACTGAAAGAATTCTTCCTTGTGGAACCCTTTCTTGATTTTGCAGTTCTGATACCGTAGTTCCTATATTGACTTGAAATCTTCAGTATTCCAGAAAATTCTCTATGAATTGTCAGCCTTTCTTTTAGGCCCAGTTCTTTCAAGATACCAAATTTTCACATTGTGTCATACACCTTCTGTAAGTCAAAAAAATACGGCTGTGCAACATACCTTCTTAATGAAGGCTTCTCTTACAAATGTTTCTTGGTGTATTAAGTGATCCATGGTCCTTCTTTTTTTTTCCCTAAAAGTACATTGGAAATCACCGATTAAGCCTTTGGTTTCCAGGTACCAAATCAACCTATTGTTGACCATTCTCTCCATAGTTTTACATAGACAACTGGTTAATGCTATTGATCTGTAGTTTTCAAGGACTCTTGTCATCTTTTCTAGGTTTTGGAATAGTGATGATGAAAGATTGCATATATTTCTGGGAAGTTGCCATTTGTCTATATGTTATTATACATATTTCATAAGAGTTGTAATGATTTGTTGGGTAACTGTTTTATGAATTCATAATGGATATATCTGGGCCCACAGCTGTATTTTGGGCTTTTTTAAAAGATTTATTTCATTCCTCTAGAGTGAATAGTAGGTTATAAGTTGTTGGAATTGTTTGATTTAAAGTTTAGTTTTTGTTTTTCTGCTTTTTGTTTGAGGTTTAGAAATTGTTGACTACCATTTTTGGCAGATTAATTTTTAGAGAGTGTTTTGGCTAATTGGTCAGTGATGTCCTTTTTGCTGGTTATTTTAGAGTTCTTCATTGAGAGGTATTTTACAGTGTTTTTTTGGTATTTGCCTGCTATTTTTTTATCATATTCAAGACATATTTTTGTTTTTGTAGCTGAATCAAGTCTGTTGATGTAGTTTTTCCGGCATTATTTTTTGGTTTCTTTAATTATTTTCCGTGCTTTTGCTCAGAGTTGCTTAAATTGTAGCAAATTAGAGGCTGTAGGTTGTCTGTTGCATTTTTTTTTTTTTTTTTTTGTGATTAATTTTTTTTTTAGAATGCATTTTTTCCTGTAGAGATGAGCATATCCGTGAAATGTTTTAAATTCTTGATGCTTTTTCCTTCAACTAGTTTTTCAGAACATTGGATGTTGAATTTGTCCTAGTTCGCTTCACCTAATTTTCAACAGAGAGGATTTTTATTATGTTCATGTGTTTCCTACTGCATGTGTCTACCAGTACCTTCCAAGAGAAATCCATATAAATTGGTGGATCACATAGGGATAAGTCTATTACCAAATATCTGCCGGTAAATGGATTTATGTAAGTCAGTGTTCTATTATAAATGCATAAATCATTGTTATTAATTATTGTTTCTAAGGTCTTTCCCTTTTAGTTTATGTCTTTACAGGCCCATTTGGTGCTGTAACAGTTAAAGTCCCCTAGTATAATAAAAGGTGTTGCCTTATGATTTCATGAATTTTAGCTTCATTTACTGGGTCATTTGGTGGTAATAATTTTTAGAGATGGTTTGTCTAATTGGTCAGTGATATTAATTTTTGTTTTTGATTACTAATGCAGAAAATGTAACTAACTAGCAGTATAACCCATCTTTGCCTGGGTCTTTCATGACTGGGAATTTTTTTGCCATTCAGTTGGAGCAGTTTAAGTTTAAAGTCAGCCCACCCGAAAATCAATATTAGTAACAACATTTGGTTGCAACTAAGGCACATCCCCAAATGGGGGTGGTTTCTGGGGTGTTAACAATTTGAGGGGGGGGCTGAAAAGGGAACTGTATAATAATAAATAATATTATTGTAATAATTTAAACTATTTATTTTTATTTAGGTTTTTATGAAAGATATATATCCAAGAACAGATAGTAAAACATAGTAAAACATTGCTGAGAGTTATAATAGACAGGAAGTAGTGGAGAGCCATTGTTGTTAACAATTTGGACTCAATACTGGCACTGAAGAACTATCTATCAGACAAAAAACATTTCATCGAAATATGATGGAAATGCATAAACATCCGATCACACACACACATACACACATTTAAGGCATACATAAAATTTTTTTTTTTTAATTATATATAAACAATGTGCTTACATGAAAAAATGGAAATTATAAGAAAAAAAAATTGCTAACCTCCTTAGAGACAGGTAAATATATATAATTGCATTGTTTTTTATGTATAAGAAACCAGACACCAAGGTGTGTTGACATCGTTTGTCAGTGAGACTAGGCTAAAAAAAAAAACTGATATGTTATCTCATCAAACACGTGTCCCTACAAAAAACAATGTTTATAATAATGTCAGATAAAATCCATTTAGAAATTACTGTTTACATTTCAGATCGGAAAATGAAGCTAAGAGATATAGATTCAAAAAGTCCCAATGCAATGTGCACATCCCTTAAGGAGGTAATTGTCTTATCATGTCCTGTGATCAAATTAGTAATGGCACACTTCAGCTATAGGAGTGGATTCCTTGATGATAAAAGGGGACACAGGTTTGATTCCAATGAAGAGGTACATTTTTCTTCAGGAGGATTACTTGATCTAGGCCAGTTGATATTAATTTCACTTGTTTAACTAATCTTAACCCTTAATCCTAACCTTGCCAAGAATGATAACCCAACCCCTAAGCTCTGTACCAACCCTAAAGAAACAGTTTAAGAACAAAAATAAAGAGAATGTCTTCAAACACATTTACTCATTGTCTAAAAATAACATTTCTTGTCGGAAATAATCTTTTAAATACAAGCACACACGTATGGATATAATCCCAAAATTTGAATGTTTTCTATTTTTTCTTTTTCTTGTAGAAAGTCTGTACATGACACATGTTGGCCCTCTGAATCTTGATAAACTTTCTGCTTTAATGAATGGGCAAATCAGATCTAAATTGGGTATAATCCCCAAAAATGTCACCTGGGGAGGTGAGTGAATAATTAACACTTTTTTTTTATTTATTATTTTTTCTTATTTGATAATTTTTTATTTTCTTTATTTGATAATTTTTTTTTTTTCTTTATTTGATAATTTTTTTTTTTCTTTATTTGATAATTTTTTTTTTCTTTATTTGATAAATTCTTTTTTTCTTTATTTGATAAATTCTTTTTTTCTTTATTTGACAAATTCTTTTTTTCTTTATTTGACAAATTCTTTTTTTCTTTATTTGATAAATTTTATTATTTGATAATTTTTCTTTACATGATAAATTTTTTTCTTCTCTTTAATTACACAATCTCTTCCATTCTGAATAAAAAAAAAATGTCAACTTATTTATTATTAATGATCTTTCTAGGGATACAAAATTGAATTAGTTCTATAAAAGCGGAAGTATTTATTAAAAGGAAAAAGTACAAAATTGGCAGAAGAGTTTTGCTACATCCATGTCTGCAATCTCCAAACATCTTATAAATAATTGGATTTGCATTTAAACCTCCCATGAACTGATCTCCTGTGTGATCATAAATTGCATTCAGTCTTTCATTTGAAAGTTTTGAAACCATTTTTATCAAATCTAAACAAGTTTCATTTATGTAAACAAAACAAATGGTTGTTGGGTTTCATTCAGATCAACTTTATTTATATATATATATATATATATATATATATATATATAAATTAAAATTTAAACACTAATATTCCATGGTCATAATTTATTCCATTGGAATCGTAAATATGTTTATCATCAGAATACAAATTCAAATTTTGAATTTGTATTTCTGATAATTTTTAAAAATGGAATAAATTATGACCATGGAATGTTAAAAATTTAAATATTTTTATTATATCCTGTACTCTGTTTGAAAGACATTGAGTTCTACCTGGATCCTTTTGAATTGGAAAAATTTTTGAAAAAAATATACAATTATTTATTATTTTAAGATATATTTTTATGGAAATATTCATATATATATGTATATTTTATATATATATATATTATATATAAAATATATATATATATATATATATATATAGAAAAAAATATAGTTTTAAGGTGTGCTATATTTTTGGAAAGTGCTCAATATCAGAGATAGTGTATGTAAATATAAAAGTGAACATTGAAGTCAACACTCAGAGACAACAGACTGTTTCATGCTAGATGCAATTGCCAGATCATGAATCTGATGATTACATCTAGCATGAAACAGCCTAACCAAAAACTGTACAGTGTTGACCAAATTATAATAGGTTCACTTTTATATATAGTATTACACAACAAAATCTAAAAATTACCTCATGTGGTGGGGATAGACCTATTTCAACTGATGAAAATGTCAGTCTTATTCAACCCCAGTGTATAGACTGAGTTTGTGTTGGAATTAAAAATTTAACTTTGACAGTCGTCAAAAAATTGACACAGAATTTTTAATCTTTTAAATATATCTTACATTTGAGTATAATTTATCATTGGAAGGAATATTAATAACATTTCTAGTAAGAAATAAACTTAAATATACATAGCAATGGATATATGTTGTATGAACACACCCCAATGTCATTACTCAGCCATTAGCAGCAGACATGCTTTTTCTTAAAAAACTTGATTTTTTACTTTTTTCACAGGATCTTTCTAAAAATAAAAAATACCATTATCCCAAAATATTGGGATCTAAATAAATCAAACTTTGATTCTGCCAAGTTCGCCTTTTTCTCTGGGTTTAAATTAGAGACAAATTGCTATAGGCACTGCTCTAGGATTGAGTATTAACAGATGCACTGGGGTAGGTCTTCTTTTCTCCCTGTATCTAAAGGAAAGCTGAATAAATTTCTGCTATTTAAATTTAATACAATAAATTCATTGTTCTACTATTTAAATTCTTATTTATATTTTCAGGATTATTATGGATTTTTAGGTATTATCTATAATATACAAGGACTGTATTCTATGGCATCTGGGTAAACATTAGCCTACCAGACACATAACCATTCTTATAAATCCCTCTATTTACAAAATTTGTATTTGAAATTGCAAAATTATAAAATTCTGTTATATAAAACAAAGTCAAATTGTAATATATTAAATAAATGAGATATCTTTTACATAAATAATATTTAGTATTTTGGATTGAATATGAAAGGATTCAAAAATTAAGAATTAAAACAGTTATTTGGTTTTGAGATACATCTATATATAAATTATACATCATTTTTATTCAAATGCTTAATATATCATTGGGATTTTCATTCTGGGTAAACATTATTTACCATATTTTAATCATTTATACATTTGAACTATTACATTTAAAATTACAAATTTAGGAGGGAATGACCAAAATAATAGTCATCAAATGGCATCTGGGTAATAATTAGCCTACCAGATACATCACCATTGCTTATAAATCCTCTGCTATTTACATTTAATATTCCAGTATTATGGATTGAGGCTAGTTTTTTTTTGGGAGTTTATGGCATCTGGGTAAAACATTAATGCCATTACTGACCATTTTATTTCTCTCTATTTAAATTTAATAAAATAAATGGATTGAGGCTAGGGACAAGGAAAAGAAATTTTAAACATTAGCCTACCAGATAAGAATTCTTATAAACCTCTTTATTTAATTTAATATTCCAGTATTATGGAAGGCTAAAAAAAAAAAAAAAAATCAACAACATTAAAAGATTATACCATTTATTTAAATGAAAATTTATTTACATTTAATCATAATATGGATTGAGTAAAATTTGGATTTGTATGATATTTCTGTTTATAAGATGAGACAGATGATTAAAATCTCTTATTTACATTTAATAAAATATTCAAATGGTAAAACAATATGAAATATGACAAGATAAATATCAGAAATTTGAAACTTATTGCTTATAAATCCTCCTAATTAGAAAATTTACATTTATTATTCATGGATTGTAGGTGGAGATGGATTGCAAGCATATTTGTAAATTTTGTGGGACAGAAACATGATTGGTATAAATTGCTTTGCTAAATTGTATCATAAGTTTTAAAATATCAATAAAAAAAACTGAAATTAATATAAAAAACCATAAATTTATATTGCTTCTAAAAAACAACAAAATGGATTTTTTTTTTTTTTAATCATATTATGGATTGAATATGGAAAGTGCATATGTCATTAGCCTACCAGATACATCATTGTTTATATTTATCACTATTTAGATTTAATAAATGATATTCAGCAAATATTATTTTATGGATTGAAAGGCTGGTTAATTTTTTAATACAGATCACTTCCTCCAGGCATTTACATTTAATATTCTGTATTATTTTTTCACCAGGGATAGGATTTAAATTCTATTTACCTTGATTAGATAAAATTTGAAAATTTTGTAAACATATATCTATTTACATTTAATTTTCTATATTATGGAATGAGGAAGTCTGAAGAAAATATTTAACATTATAAAGGAAAAAATAAATCCATTTGCTATTGACATTTAAGATATGAGGCTATTATGGATTCAATCAGGATTGGATTATAAAGTCAATAGCATCTGGGTAAACATTAACCTACCAGATACCTCACCATTGCTTATAAATCCCTCTGCTATTTATATTTAATATTCCAGTATTATGGATTGAGGCTAGAGATAATGAGACGAATGAAGAAAACAGTAACCAGCGAGTAAATTCAAGCTCTCCCAGCTGGTATTTCAACCTTGAGTCGTTACTTCTTGAGTTCTGTCTCCAAATCACACTAACTGCCCGTTCTTGCCGTCAACCGTGAACGTCCCTCGAAGAACTCCCGACTTGGAAAAAAAAGTAGTTGTTTTTATAGTTGTTCATATACCCATAATCCCTTGCGTCTTCATGTGATCCCATAATTCATTGCGTCCATGTCCCATAATGCATTGCATCGTTATTGCATAAAAATGCGATGCCAGTCCCCCCTCATTCTTTTACGTTATCTGGCCGAGGATGGATTACGGCAGAGCGGTAAGTGCTTTTTTTCTCTCATTTCAACTGCAGTAGCTTTACATGCTAAGCAAAACGGGCTCTTTTTTGGCGGGGACAAGGCAAGTCGCGACCAGTTATTGCTCGTCCCAGGTTCTGTCTCATGTCCGCCACACTCCCCCTGATCTCCTGATCACACAGATGACAGTGAGGATACGGTCTTTTGTTCCTGGTGCTCCTCCGAAGGGGATTGTTTGAACTTCTTCATCAGAGGAGCTCTCATTAGACACGTCCCGATCTATTGGCAAACTACCGCTATCAGAGTGATTGGTTGTTGAATCCAACTCTATGTATATTGGCTGTTCACTATCCTCCGTGTCTTCTTTGTCAGTTGTGGGATTTGAGCCCAAAAAAGGGCGCAGGTCTCTAACATGACGAGGCGTTCCATCAACCCGCACTGACTGCTGACTCACCACCTCGTCACACATCCGGTTCCAAATTTGGTCATGCATTTACCACGTGGAGTCTTTACCCAGACAATGTCCCTTTTCTTGTATTCCCCTTCGGTTATATTTGTGATTCAGGCGGGGGGCGTCGCATCGATGCCTCTCACCCGGACGTGGTATGTGTGCAGTACATCAGCCGGTGCCATGGAAGGTGAAAGGTTGTCCTTAGGTGTGACGTTATGCCAGTAAACCGCTTCCAAGACTGAACAATTTTTCCTGGCCGCTATGGTTTTGACGCTTCTGTGGTTGCGTTCCACAATGCCATTTCCAGATGGCACGTAAGCGCATCAGAACCTCAAATGCACGCCCTAGCTGTTTGCAAATTCCCTAAATTGTCTGCAAGTGAACGTGGTGTCATTGTCAGTCAGTATTTCAGTCGGCGGGCCTTGTTCGTAGAAGACTGTCTCCAGCTGACGAATGACACCAGCAGAGTCTTGCCATCTCAGTGGCCGCCATACCGCAAAACGGGAGTTGATCACAGTCAATGAGCGTAAGAAAATGGCTACCATTGCAATGGGTCACGTCCATTGCTAACCTGCTCCAGTTTTTTCTC